GGCTCTTCCACAGATGTATTTATTGTCAAAGCATTTAATGTATTTCATTGCTATCGGGATGTTAAGAGCATTCCATGGAATATAACAAGTGTTTCTGAAGTGAATTACCTACCCCACCTTTAACATGCCTAATACCACTACAATTAGAGCATGCACTCTTTTTGTATCACTCCATATATCAGAAAATACAGTAAGCAGCCAATAAAAAATCTATTTAGCTTTGCTTTTAGGCGTCAAATATGATATAAATCAGGCAATTAATGGTATGTGAACAAACAACGCTCCAAAGTGATTGTGTTTGAATAACAGCGGTGGTTACATTGGCCATGACACCATTACTGTATTTGTTGTTCAACGGTCCAGGAGTATTTAGCGTAAGTGTGTGTGATAGTTTTGGCAGATGGATTGTCCTCAAACAAGAAATGCATCTTCTAAGAGGCCCTATTCCCTTTCCTATAGTGTGTTGTATAGATTTGTTTGTGCAGCACAGACAGTACGAGAACATTAAAGAGCTTTTTGAACATTAAAGAATGGAGACATGTCACAGTAGAGGTAAAAAATACAAAGAGATGTGAGAGTTAGCATGAACTATGACAGATAATTGTGCAACTTACCTTCCATCCCAACAGCTCAGCGAGGGCCAAACAGCCGTCATCACATGTACTGATGTGAGCTACATCTCTGGAGAACAAAACAGTGTTAAAACATAGACACATCTCCATTAAATGTGTTTATTTCCAGCTCTAAAGCATAAGCACTGTTGGAGGAGCCTGGGACCTAAGATTGTCATCGACATAACTACACTGTAGCTATGTAGGAATGACAATAAAAGCCTTGAATCGTGAATAATATTACAACACTTTCCCGTGCGTTTTAGAGGGGTTTTGTTAACATGCGCTGTCAGAGATGACTCAACAAACTGTCATTGGTGTCGTCAACAAGAAACAATGTTTGGATGTCATGATGACTGTCGTCTGTTTCTGTGATTACTGAGAAAGTGAGTTTAATAAGAATTAAGCTAAATGATGAGAGAACCAGAAAATGAAGGTCAAAGTGAATGCTTTGGCTCCCTCTGGTGGCGGAAAGCCAAACTGCATCATGTCCGTTCAAACCATAAACGTAGCCGCTGTGATGTCACCCAAGTTCATCCAAACGCCTAATAGGGCCTTATTGATATCCAACCTTTTTCAACTCACTTAAGAATCACATTTTTTTTCGCGACCCACATTCAACCATAAACAATACGGAAAAGTTCTGATTGGCCAATTCAAAACATTTGACACGTTGTAAATCCGGTAGAACAGACCGCTGTCAAGGACTGTAATGACCGTTGCTAAGGAGGATCAAGCAAGAGAAAGGAAAGGGGTTAAAATAAAAAATAAATCTTAATAATGAAAATGTTTCCAAACAAATCATAATGTTTTGCAAATTATTTAGCGGCAAATATTGAATCTACATTTACACCCTTTAATATTGTATTTGGGCTTTTAGATGAAGACTGCACACAGTTAATAAATACAACTATTCTTCTGGCTACAATACATATTTTTAAAACTCAATCAAGGAGTAATCTTAATTTAAGGTGTTTGAAGAGTAGATACAAATACAATTTATTTTGGATACAATTATTGCCACAAAAAATCAAAGGGTGGCTGAACACGCCATGACATGGGAAATAATGAGCTCTAACGAAGAGTGGATTTAAAGGAACAATACATATGCTTGCCATGTTGTGTTGTTGGTGGTATTTGGTTGTCAACCTATTTTTGTTTGTGAAATGTTAAAGTGGTCCTACTGACTGTATATGTATTTCTTCTGTTTTTGTCTGAGATGGGAATGTCATCTCCTATGTTATTGTTATGTCCATGTTTGTGTCTTTAGCCTGTACAAAATAAAAATAATAAAAATAATTTGGCGGCCCAGTTACAATGCCTTTGCGGACCACTAGGGGGACAAGGCCCACAGGTTGGGATCCGCTAATATAGAGAATTAAGACGTTACAATTAACATTTACTGAAAATGAACCAAGACAGGTCTAAAGTTGTAAAAACTGACAACATCCAAACCAAACAACTCTGTTAGCAACCTGTCAATCACTAGGTAGACCTAAAGCATACACTGCTTTAACATATTACATAATAAATCACACACTGAACATCATGCTGTATTTAAGACGCCTTAAAACAAAGATTGAGAGCATGAACTTATTAGAAAAATGTGTAGTGAGAAAATAAACCAAGTGAGAAGTATAGGGTCATTTTAGTTGCATCTTTTCAAACCTGGAAGTTGATGCTTAGTTCAAACTGATAGACAAAATACATTTAACATTACATTTAATATGATATACTGTTTATCAACCATTACTGATTATTTCATCATTTTGACCCAGGTGATACATTTCTTAAAAACTGTTCATCATCCCAAATAATCTCTTTCCCCTTTAATCTGATCCGATGTGTATAATCCGGATGATTTACTTCTCTATTGGGAGATGCAATCAGATGTTCTAGATACAGGATAAGAAGTTGAAATGGTACAATAAAGGTAAACCAGCCAAACAATTTGCGACAGGAAGTCTCTCTGTTTCACCTGTACGCTTTGTCTGATTCAAAGTCCATGCCTCCTCCAAAACCCAGCAGCCCGAGCATAGGATCCGCCTGCGGAGGAAACAGGAAATACATCTGTGACGTAAAGAATAGGCGTACAGGCAGGAAATGTTCGATGGAGGGGGAAACGCTCACCTGCCCGGCCTTCTCCATGTTTATGAGCAGTCTGGGGCAACTTTTAGAAACTCTAATGAGAGAGGAGAGAGAGCAAAGGAAAAGGGATGGAAACAAATTACTTAAAGGTCTCTTATTATACAGTTTTTCATCAATATCTCACAGGTCTCAGATATATACAAAACATGTCTCTGATTGGCTGAAACACCAAATAGATCATTGCAGCATTACCCATAATCCCCTCTGTTTCAGCCCTGTTTCAAAAGTGCTGATTCTCTGTCTGTGACTTTAGATGAAAATAAGGAGCCCCTCCCCACGCCCCTCTGAGAGACATTTGGTGACAAAGAACTCAATGGTGCTCTAGTCTAGATATGTCAAACTCAAGGCCCGGGGGCCAAATCAGGCCCTTGGTGGATTTAATTTCGGCCCGCAGGATCATTTCTAATTACTTTTAGATCTGGCCCGTCGGTATATTGCACGCACACCTTCACTCCATCCTGAGGGTCTCCTCCGCTCAGAGCCTGAGCCCAAACATTGATGACCTTGCTCCCAAGATGAGATGCCAAGTATCTGAACTAGCATCACAGAGCAGCACACTGAGTTTAATGGATGTTTCCTTCTGCACTTTCTCTCACGACAACAGGGCATGTTTGCTTTTCTCTTTGAGGGGAAATAGTTTTGTTGAAGCTGTTGTTGTTCTGTGGAGAAATGTAGTCATAAGAAATGACTCTGGAAAAGCTGCAGATAGAGCCATAAGAAATGAATGCAACTGATTATTTAATGTTGTTTTTATAGGCAATAATTTAAGCTTTGTTAGTTCCAGGTTTAATATGTGCAATAAGTTCATTTCAATACGTTCTGCAATAAACATTGAACCAGTCCGGCCCTCGACTAGTACCCATTTTTTTATTTTGGCCCACTGTGTGTTTGAGTTTGACTCCCCTGATCTAGGAGGAGATTCAGGTGATAAGGTGGGGGGGGGGGGTTACCTTGGTTGCTGATTGGCTAATGGTTACACAAGCCAAAACATCGTTATGACATCATAAAGTGGCCAAAATCTGATCAGCTCATTTTCACAGGTTTTTATATAAATGGATCAAAAAGAGAGAGAATCTTTTTTCCTGAAGCTTTCAGAGTCTCTTTCCACAGAGGGGGGGGGACACATGTTTAATAAATAATACGTGAACAAGAGGATTTAACATAATAGGTGACCTTTAAACACTGGAATATTCTTCCAGTTGAATTTAAAACCTGTACTGACTTTCCCTCTTTCTCTTATGGTGCAAAACAATGAATATTAAGCAACCAGCCATGCCAACATTAATGACACTGTAATCTGAGTTTTAACATTGGAACTGTGTTGTAATATTATATTTTAACTGCACTATGTATTCTTTTATTGACCTGTACTTGACCTGGCATAAATCCTCCCCTCTCTTTTCTGAGATGAATGTATTTGTATGCATGGTCCTTGTTGAAATAAATACATAATAATACAAAATATATATATGTTAGTAACCAGAGCAATGAACGATACATTGCAAAAATGTAGGGGGAGAGATCCCTCAGCTTCAAGCCCGGAGACATTTTAAGAGACGATTAGAAGATTCTTTCTGGAAAGCCTGAATCTTTTATAATGCAGAATAGATTCAATGGGAGCTAGACGGTCACAGTTAGAGTCTGTGGAAAGCAGTATGACATGAAACTTGATCTGCAGTACCTGCCGACTAAACCTGCAAACGGCTGGACCTGCAGAGACGTTCCCATGACGATGAGCAGATCACAGCGAGGAAAGTCCTGACAGGTAAATGAAGACAGTGTAAACATTTTGATTCCTACAGAGGTGTTATGTCATATTTTCTTAACCAGTCATGCATGCATCCTTGAAAACCACCACCATGTAAACACACACAAATCTCCTACATTTGTATCAGGGTTTCCGTTAGCCGGTAATTACCGGTTTTTAGCCGGTAAAATGTAATAAAAACCGGTAAATTCAAAACCTGCCGGTCAAAATGTCCGATGCTCCTATCGATTGGCCGCCGATCATTATCGGCCGATATTCACTCTTAATAGTTTGATCGGTGCTCTCTATAAAGGCCGATCAGGAGAGCTGGATCTGATCGATATGGACATAAACACGAGTGAAGTCTAACCGAACCCGAGAGAGAGATCAGATCAGCTGCTGCATAATCACCTGAAGCCCCGCCCACTGTTTAGCGAGCTGCATGAGAACTGTCAGGAGAGAGAGAGAGAGAGAGAGAGAGAGAGAGAGAGAGAGAGAGAGAGAGAGAGAGAGAGAGAGAGAGAGAGAGAGAGAGGAAAAGAGAGGATCCGTTCCTCCCGGGTTATTATTCAAAGTTAATTTAAACTTTTGAATAATGTACGTTATCTACTACAAGTAGTTTATTTGAATGTAATAATTATGTTGTTTGTTGAATCATTTATTGAAAAATGAATCTGAATTTTTCCGATCTGTTACGATTATAAACTGAAGCAATATAAAAATGACTCCCATTAACTGAGTTTTAAACATCAGCATATCCGCTCCTAATCCGGTAATTACCTGCTAACGGAAACTCTGCTACACAATTATTATTATTATTATTGAAACATGACCGGTAAGTTTCAAATTTGTCCGGTAAAATAAATTCTGTCCGGACATTTGACCGGCGAGAAAAAATCCTGGCGGAAACCCTGATTTGTATATCATTTTGATGATAAATGACATCTGTATCTGTGTGCTCACCATCTTCATTGAAGTGAAAAACCGGACAGGTAGATTCTCTCCAAAGAAGACGATGTCTGGGTCAAAAGATGCAAGGGACACATAGGTACAAAGACATGTTGAGATAAAGAGGGACACATATATCCAACTGTCATGTTTGTAGAGTAAGACAGATATTAGACGGTGTGCAGAAAGGTCCAAAAGGGCTTTAAGGAACAGAAACAAGGGACATCAAATACATTGGATGAAAAGAAGTGAAATGGCCAATGATCAACTGACCTGGCTTCACCAAACTGCTGCACCCATCACATCGGGGAACGTCGTCAGAAAATATTTGATCTACAAAGCAAAGAGAGGTGGTTAAAGTCTCAAACGGTTGGAATCACAATCGCTCAACAACCAGAAGCTTTTTTCTTTCTAAAGGCCAGTGAAAGCGAACCTCTCATCCAGTCCAGGTTGAACTCCTTGCTGCAGGAGACACAGTGAGACGTGAAGAACGTTCCATGAGCTTCTATCAGATCCTCTCCCTCTAATCCGGCCACTCGCTCCAAGGTGTCGATGTTCTGAATGAACACAGATATACGTCAATATAATATTTACAAAAGGTGCCTTTCAAGGCTCTCAAGGTCGCCGTACAAGGTACACAAAACAAGACAATATAATCAATCAATAACAAGTGAAAAACAGAGGACGTGTGATGTGATCAGGGCGGATATGCCAGTGTGAAGAGATATGTTTTAAAGGTCACCTATTATGCAAAATCCACTTTTTCATGTCTTCTATACACAAACATGTGTCCCCCCCTCTGTCTAAAGAGATTCTGAAAGTTTCAGGGAAAAAGATTCTCTCTCTTTTTGTCCTGATCCATTTATATAAAAACCTGTCTGGAAAAGTCCCCAGGAGTGGGGGACTGGCTTCAGTCGAAGCTGCTGGGACTCCCAGCAGCTTCTACTGAAGCCTTCCGAGTAAATCGCCAGAACGCCGACACCTCCTCATCTCCACCGCTCCCATGTTTTATTTTGTGTTGCTCTGCGTTTCTGTGCTGGGCTAATGCTAATGCTAATGCGAGGATAATAAAATGGCGACTTCACAACACTTTTCAGAGTTTTAGGGGGCGTGGTTTGCAATCCGCCCAGCCAATCAGAAATTGGTACTTTTTTCTCCCCAGGAAAGTACCACCTCTCTAGCAGGCACTAAACATGGGGGTAAAAGTTCTCATGAACTAAGTTCTCTTTTTGGTGTGAACGCAAAATCCCACAAACTATCGGAACTAAACGGGAAAAGTACTCAGTGTGAAAGCGCCGGAGACTTCGGGTGGCAGTATACGCCGTGAAGTTGTTTGCGGCCTGCCAGTAAACCCACTGTAAAGCAGAAGAAGAAGTGACGTCAGCGGCTTCATTTGCGTAATCTTCCCTCAGGAACTTATTCCACGATCTGTACCTAGTTCCATGGGGGCACTCAGTGCTATAAGTACGGCAAAGGTCTTTTTTAAAATGTCTCTCACAGGGGCGTGGGGAGGAGCTCCTTATTTTCATCTAAAGTAACAGACAGAGAATCAGCACTTTGGAAACAGGGCTGAAACAGAGGGGATTATGGGTAATGCTGCAATGATCTGTTTGGTGTTTGGAGCCAAACACTTCAGAGACATGTCTGTATATATCTGAGAGCTATAATATATTGATGAAAATAGGTAATAGGGGAACTTTAAGAAGTGATTTGAAAATGGAGAGAGACTCAGTATTCTGGATGTCAGGTAGGAAATAAGATATGAGACATATTGAGTGTGAAGTGTTCTCCTACCTGAGAGTAGCAGCGTCTCAGGTGACCCTTGTCCTTCAGCAGCTTCATGAAGTAGTGACAGATTGTCGGCTAAACAACAATAACAAAAAGAGGCTGTTTTTCTGAAGTTGGATTTTATACTTGAATCCTGATGTATTTGTTCATTTCGAACAGTTTTCAACAATTAATATGAAGCTTACAAAGCAGCAATGTGTGGTTTACTACCTTAAACTGTCCTGGGTAAAGCTCCCTGGCCAAGGCGAAGAAAGGCTCTGGATGTTTCTGAGAAGAAGGAGACATTTTATTACATTGGTTTGGTAAGCTGTGTTTTTTGTTTCTTAGTTTAGATTAAGGTCCCAACTTTCAAACGGCTTTCAGACTCTTCTTAAATGTGCATTATCTTGGCATTACACTACAACAAACATAATTGCAAGAAACTTGGCTTCTTAGCTTATCTTGTGTATCTAATTGTAAATTATAATAATTCAAAACTCACCTTAAAGTAATCGATCTGGAAGATGGCCTCAGGGTAAGGCAGGTTATATTTCTGCAGGTTTGCGTACAGCCCAGTTTCTGGTGAGCGGAAATCAGGGATCCCAGCCGCTGTGGACGGAGAGGATAATGATGGTCACATTTTAAACACTTAACAACAAAACTATGCTTTCAAAAGTAATTGTTTCCTGGTACGACACTCACATGTGGATATTCCGGCTCCAACCATGCAGATGATGTTTTTACCTGTGTGAGACATATTTGACATGAAATACTCATACTCTAATATATATATAATAAATGCAATATGTAAACAGGAGAAAATCAATCCACTATGATGTGATGGATAATAGGGATGGACATTTGAAAGCAAATTTATATTCGAATATTCGACCCCCCAAAAAAAACTATTATGTTAACCGATTAACCGAATTGACATATCCTATTGTGGGGAAACTTCTGTGTAGCAATGCAGGAGGAGTCACCGACTCAAAGGAGACACGGGGAGAGCTGGAGCTCTGATGGCAAACACTGATGGGTTTATTTGGAGCTTCGGCCGCGGAGAATTCACAAAACAAGTCCGGCGCTTTTCAGCTCCAGCTCCGAGCCGGAGCTGAAAAAGCGCTGGTGTGAAAGGGGCACAAGAGTCAGAGGTTCTGACTTCACGGTAGAGATGCCACGTCAATTCTGAAGAGCCCTCCTGTAGCTCCAGGTTTTAACTAGTTCAGAGTGTAATAATCAACATTCAATAGAGAGATTAAACAGCTGAGGGACACTGAATCACATTTGTTGTCTCTTACGGCTCGGGGTCCTCTACACCCCGAGAAGGATGTGTTCCAGGTGTCCCACAACAATGACTATCTCTGACCGAGAGTTGCCCGGTCACAAACTGGTAACATCAACAATATGCTAGGGCAGCCCCTCCTTATGGGAGATAACGGCTGCTCAAGGTTGGTCAGCTGCGTCAGAGGGCGAAGGAGGACATGCAGGGCACATTATTCCCCAACACCTATAATTGTTTTTAATAAATAAATACATTTTCAAATAAATCTAGAAATCAAACCAAATTGTATATGATATTTTTCTCAAGATATTTAAAATGGCACTGTCATTTAATGAATCCATTTGATAATATGTAATCAACTTAGGCTACCCCTCCCATAAAAAATAAAAAAATTACAATAAAAATGTTTATAATTGATATTCGAATACCTGAATCATTTTGAATATTCGATGAATCATTCCCATCCCTAACGGATAGGCGGACAGAAACTCACATTTGCCGCTCTTTATGTATCGTGCCACTCCCTCCAGAGTCAGATCATCCAGAACTTTCTCTGGTGATCCGAGGCCCAGCGTGCTGGAGAAGAGGTTACGCAGGAAGTCCACTGAGGACAACCAGATGAAGAGAGTAACATTAAAACACAATTCAATGCATTCAGACACAATAAACCAATAGGATCGTTAAGTTCAAAAGGAATGAATCAAACATTTTGTGTTGGAGCAGATGTATAATAAGTACTCCAGTGTTTTAATTAAAGTGGACCTATTATGCTATACTGGAAACATATATTGTAGGGCCATACAGTACCTATACAAGACATGTCTGTGACGTTGTTTGCCTCAAATACCAAACAGATCACCCATTGTAGCCATGCCTCAAACTGCTCATACCTCTCTTTTGCAGCCCTGTTAGAGAAACGCAGATTGTGGGTCCTTAGCTTGAAAAAAAAAAAAAGAGGAGGCGGAGCTAATGCCTGATCAGAATTCTACTGGAGATAAAGTGATAAAACGCCATCCTGTTCTAAACCACATCAAGGATTATTTCTGAAACAGTATCAAACACTCAAATGCTTTTTCTCTTGCAGGTTTATCACAAGGTGAGTTCTTTTTTTATTTCCTGCTTTTCAAACACATGTGCTCTCCAGTACAGGTTAGCTCTGAGTGTTAGCGAGGCTTGCTAATTTAAACAATGACGAGATTACGTCCAAAACACGTCAGGCATTGTTTCTGATAGCAACTCTCTGTGGGACGATTTGACGTCATATCGGCAGCAAATCTGTATCCGCTCGTTGTTCCCCGTTTGTAAAAGATTTGGGTACGGAGGAAAAGAGAGAGGTTTTTATTTTCTGACGCTGCGTGAGTTCCCCGACACACCGGGGACACATGTTGATGTAGAGAAGACATCAAAAAGTGCATTTTGCTTGATAGGTCCCCTTTAAGTTAAACTATTAATACTAGTGTTGAAATACTCAGTTAAAAGTAAAGAACAACAACTAAACGTAGTAATTATGCATAACGTCCTATTTTCTGAGTAATATATATTAAATCACTGGATTATAATAAGTTATGCATTAATGTTTACATCCTTTAAAATGTTCAGCTGAAAAAGGTGTAGCAAACTTTATTACTTTTTATACTGGAATAGGGTTAACTTAGAAGTAGGAGTAAAAAGTGCAATATTTGCTTTCGAAATTCTAGTGGAGTGGAAATATGAAGTAGCATAACATGTAAATACGAGTACCTTAACATTGTACTTTAATTGAGTAAATGTCATTACAAATAACAGTGTAATAATGTAGCAGCTGTTGTTATTAGCTGGACTTTCTATTTGATGTGTTTGCACCACTGTCACAGTCACATACTCTCTGTGTTTCCTGCAGCCTCTTCTCCACTGCTGTCGTCCGAGTCCTCCTACAAAACAAACCCCACAATGCTGACATTAAAATGGATGCACACTGTATAAAGAGAACAGGCAGTAATCTAGTGAATGGCTGCCTTCTTCTCCAGATCTGCGGAAGTCAGACGATGACAGGTGACGTGTTTGGAAAGCTGACAGTCAGCCGAGAATTACCCCACCTAAAAGTACTCGCTAACTCGATAAATAGTGTATTTATTATTAGTGTTTCATATATATTTTGATGCATGTACCATTTTATTATTTTACTATTGTTTTATAGGAATTGACATGTTGACATTGTGAATGTATACTACTCGATACTCGCTAACATTGTCTAGCTACATACAAATAACATATTTCTAACCTCGGGTTCAGCCGTAACTTCTTCCTCTTCTTCTTCTTTTTTAGGACGTTCTAAAAATGGAGAAATTAAATATCACTTGTGTCAAAAAATGTATCTTTGAGTTAAAGCGCTGTTAGCTTTATGGCTAGCTCAGTGTAGCACCGTTTATTTATTTAAATTAAAACTTCATTTATCATCACACAGTCTTCCTACCTGATGCTTCAGACATTTATCCGTGTACTGAAACGCTTTCACCACAAAGGTCTGATTGACAATTTATTTAAATCCCAGATTTCACGAAGTTACGACAGGTTCCTGGTTTATGCTACAGCGAGCACTCAGTTGTTGTTGTCCGTCAGAAACACGGTCCGGGTTGGTGGTGACCGAGTTCCCATGAGGTAATAGGTTCCTACCAAGGTTCAAGGTTCTTTATTTGTCATACGAACATAGCAACAGTGTAGTTATGCCGATGAAAATCTTGTGTCACAGGCTTCTCCAACAGTGCAACACAAAACACAGATAAATAGAAAATATAGTGCAAGTAAATAGTAATACAAAAAGAAAAATAGTTTAAAAAGTGAAATAAATAGTGCAATAATAGTCTATATGCAAGTTATTGAAATATGATAGGTAAATAGATACATATTTTTGTAAGCAGCCGGATGAATATTAAGGTTGTTGTTTCAACTGTTCAGGTGTTTAACTATTCTACAATTAAAGGTTCTTTAAAATGTCACCTACATACAATTATTAAATAAACGGATATTAAGATGGACAATATACATATCAACTTTATAGGAGACAATATTATGCATTGTAAAACAGGAGGTGGAAGAAGTACTCAGGTCTTTTACTTAAGTAAAAGTAGAAGTGCCAGAGTGTAGGAATACTCTGTTACAGTAAAAGTCCTGCATTCAAAAGGTTACTTAAGTAAAGTACAAAGATATTGGCAAGGACTTGAGGAAATGTTACTTAACACCACTGAGTGTCACATACAAGTCTATATAATCAACAAGAAGTTAATAAACGTGGAGAAGATGAAACATCTACATTTTAAAATAGGCATTACCCAACATGCATTGTAAAGTAGGACTGGCTCATAAAACAAGTTCTGTTCACTTGAAAAATGGCTACCAAAGTATTGCAGAGGACATCTTTACATACGCAAGTAGCAGTGATTGCCTCATCCGAGTTATTTCTTGTCTCCCAATAGTTCTGGTGTCTTTGTCCATCTAATATCAGATCTGACCCTACAAGGCTCATAGTGCATGACTGGCTTTAGTTTCCTCACATAAGCTTCCAGTGAAGATTTGAAATACACATTTGGGCGTGTTGCCACAGAACTTGTATGTTATAGGTAAAGGTAATAAGTGTACACAAATCATGATATTGAGAAATACAATCTTTATTCAGTACATTTCAAATCATGTTTACATTTCTGCAAACAAAACACATGCACAAGGTTCAATTTGCTCAATAAATACAGACAGACAGACAGACAGACAGACAGACACACACACACACAGATACACACACACACACAGACAGACAGACATACATACATACATACATACATACATACATACATACATACATACATACATACATACATACACACATACACACATACATACACACATACACATCTGTACCCATATAGATTTATATCCGACAAGAGAGGACAGATGTCTAACAAACTTGAGGAAGTACATGTTTGTTCCTTACTATTGAATTTTTTTATTTTTCACATAATTAGATGTGTGACAAGACTTGTGCAGATGTCCATTGAAAAATGAAGATGCTGGATATTGTCTGTGTCTAGTTAATCGGTGATGATTGTATCGTTAATGTTTCCATAGAATGAAAGCAGACTTTCTGTCCGACCACTGAGCTCTCACAGAAGACCCTCTCTCTTTCTGAACAAAGTCTCTCGATTCCTCTGACGTCCGTCCTTCACATGGGCTCCTCCTTCAGCTCTCCTCCCTCAGCGTGTGCTCGTAGCCGTTAGCAGTGACATTGCACCTTGGTAACATCTCCTCCAGCAGGATGATGACCATGCCTGGACTCGAGATCCCATGGAGGGACGACACATCCAGACGCTTCAGTCCTCTGAAGAACAGGCACACAACAAACAGTGAGAACATTTAAAGAGCCTTTATTATGCTTTGTTGGGGTTTTCCCTCTCCTGTAGTGAGTTATATAGGGTGCATGTAAATGGTCAACGAGATCTAAATTCCAAAGTTCCCTCCAGAGGGAGTTTCTCTCTGCCTGAAAAGCCTCCATTGTTTACTTCCGGAACAATTGGATGGTGCTATAACCCATTGCACGTGATAGAGATGTCCCACCCCTTAGCCTAAGTGGTTGACCAATCACAACAGAGCCGGCCAGCTAACCAATCAGAGCAGACTGGGCTCTGGTTTCAGACAAAGGGTGAAAAGAGGTGCTGCAGCACAGGCAGTATGAGAAGAGCTTTTTGAACATCAAAGCACGGAGACATGTCCCAGTAGAGACACTAATACTAGGGATGTAACGATACCAAAAACTCACGGTACGATGATATCGCGATAAAAAGTCCACGGTACGATATTTATCGCGATATTGAAAAAAAAAGAAAAAAAAATGTGAATTTGTTTTTCTTTATTAAATAATAAATCTGATTTGTACAGCATTTTAGAAGATAGTAGTATTTTAAAGTGTCAACAATATAATAATCAGACCCTGCAATAGAATAAATCAAGTTTCACTTTAGTTTTTCAAGTAACTCAACTCTAACTCACTCACTCACTCACTCACTCACTCACTCACTCAGCGTCATCATGGTTATCTTTTAGGAATATGAGCATGTCCACATTTCCAGGTAGAAGCTGGGATGTTTGGGCGTTTACAAAATCCCCTACTGTGGAACAAACTCTCTTGCTTGGTACTGATGTTGCTGGGACAGAGAGATATGCTTTGGCCGTGGGTGACAGCAGTGGGTCAAACTGTGCATTGTCTCTCCACCATTTCAAAAACAATACAGTTTTGGCCAAGAAGGTGAGGCTTATTGACAGGGCGAGGTATAAATATACTGTTGGTACTTGTCAATGTCTCTAGGTGTGTACATGTAGCCCTGTAAATACGATGTCCTTTTGTGTTGTCTGTTGTTTTACGTTCATGTTGTAACCTACTTGCTGCCATGTTGGACAGGTCTCCCTTGAAAAAGAGATCGATGATCTCAATGGGACCATCTGGTTGAATAAAGGTTTAAAAAAATCTCGCGGTAGATTTTGTCAGTCTCACGACGGTATTGAGACATTTATTTACCGCGATATCGCGATATTCGATATATCGTTACATCCCTACTGATATGAACCTGAAAATGAGCGTAATAATAAAAAAGAAGTGATTTGGTAATGTTTCAAGTGTTCGGATACTAACTTGAGATTCCTGAGTGCAGCCAGGCCGCATGTCGTGATGCGTGGACAGTGAGAGATGTCCAGTTCCTCCAGAGAGTCCTCGAACATGTGAAGCCTGGCCAGAAACCAGTCGTTCACTTCAGGACATCCTCGTAATGACAGAGTCCGCAAAGATTTCTGCACCTCTGAGGGAGGACATGAGTCAGACGGGGTAAGAGGGACAGAAAGTGAGGATATAGTAGGAAGAAAAGTTGTATTGAAAGGAACAAAACCCCCTCTTTACCGAGGTTGTCCAGCCCTCTGTAGTTGATATCTGTGTAGTTCATGTTCACTTCCTCCAGGGGTGTGTTTTGGTGATCCAAGAAAGCCCAATTAAATTTGCTCCTCCGATCTGCAATGAACCACTCTGACTGGCCGACAAACCTGAGGACACAACGCAGAAGAACACATGGAAACTGGATCACAGCGGAACATTTTAACACGATAAATGTATCCCCCATGTTGCATTATTACAGGAGATATGGCAACTTAATACAAGATGGAGGAGCATCGAGAATAGCCTCATACATACTGTAAAGGTGTACCAATGGTTGTGTCTACAGGTTGTAATATGTCTTGACGTTAACTTCCATATATGTTTGCCTTGGGAATTGTAGTGTTTTATATTCCCTCGACTACAGAGGTAGCCACTAGGTGAACATATTTGGCTTTTTCACAAAAAACTAAACCAAAACTGTCTCTAACACCGGGAGAAAAGTGAGGGACAAAAGAATATTTGTTTAATGGAAGAAAAAAAAAGGCTCTTACCTGAACCCTCCCTTCAGACTCAGGATGTAATACGCTGATGCGATGTTTGATCCGTAGTTCTTCTCAGTGTAGCCATAGTAACTGTGAAAGACAGAAGGGAAAAGTCAGCGAAGGTCAAAAAGATACAGAAACTTCACAAACTGGAATGGAAATAGGGCTGGGCGATATTGAGAAAATCAGATATCACTTTACTTTTTCCTTCATACAACAATATCAATATTCTGACAATATTGTACTGCTTTAAAAATGATTACATTACTTGCTAAATAACCATCAATAATTTGAATGTGATGACTAGTTGGTAAAGACAATTATAAAATGACATTATTTTACTGTAATGCAGCCTTTAAATGCCATATTACGATATACAAAATCTAAGACAATATTTGGTCTGATATCACAATAAAATCTATCAATATAATATCTAAATCTTTATAAGGCCCTTCCCTAATATTTTACAATAACCAATATTAAAAAAAATCTTAACTTGAAATATTACATGCACATTTATTTTTGGAGGATTTCTTTGTATTCATGCATTGACCTTTAGTTGGACTATATTCCAGGAAATGTGTGCATTAATCAGGAACAGCTTTAAACCAGTTAATTAGTTAGAGTTAGTTAATCTCAACGAAGAAATGCAGATTTTGATCTGATGACACATCCCGTTACAACTGCTCCCAGTAACAGATACCAGCAGCAGCAGCACTGGTTTGGAAGCTTCTCGATGTTTAAGACAGCTAAAATGTTTCCTTACGTATTTCTCTTCTGAACCCACTTCCACCTCTGCAGAAAACTCCAGCTCTGGAGCATCTCCACATCGTAGAAGCACTGCGTGAGGTAGAGCAGGAACCTGGTGTGCAGAGGGGGGGGAGACACCGAGCTGGGGGGAGACTCCGAGCTGGGGGGAGACACCGAGCTGGGGGGAGACTCCGAGCTGGGGGGAGACACCGAGCTGGCGGGAGACACCGAGCTGAGGGGAGACACCGAGCTGGCGGGAGACACCGAGCTGGGGGGAGACACCGAGCTGGCGGGAGACACCGAGCTGGGGGGAGACACCGAGCTGGGGGGAGACACCGAGCTGGCGGGAGACACCGAGCTGGCGGGAGACACAGAGCTGGAGGGAGACACAGAGCTGGGGGGAGACACCGAGCTGGGGGGAGACACCGAGCTGGCGGGAGACACCGAGCTCAACGACCGTCTGGAGACGACCAGGAGAGCCGAACGCTGGTAACATCTGTACAGAGACTGTAGAGAAGATAAGATGAAACTTTATTTAATCCCCTTGGGGAAATTATCTCATTTCATTTAATTGTTTATTTGAAGAGGGACAATGCACATTAATGAACACTTAAGACAAATAATGCTTCAAGTGTAAATATGCTGGATTTGAGCTTTGAGCTCATTTCCATCCGTAGTTCCTCACATAACATATTATAAGAACATGACATTTATAAACATAGCAAAAAATAAATACATGATATGCAGAAAGAGCAAGAGCAGCACACACAAGTATTTACAATATAGCAGCAACGTCATATAAAGTGCAAGAGAAGATACAAGAGCTACCTAAAGTGCGAGAGGAGATACCCCTGTGTTAAAGTGCATTTAGCGTTTGTTTCTCATCCATTCTTTGAGTTGACCTTTGAAGCTATTGAGAGTGGGACAATCCCGTGTCTCAGTTGGGAGGCTATTCCACAATGAGCTGCCTTTAACGGAGAGGACATTTTGTCCAAAAGTGGTCCGTCTGCGGTGGACTTCAGTCTCCTCTGGTTTCTGACCTAGTGCAGCGTCCAGTGTGTTTTCTGTGGATGAATTCCCCTAAGGGGGGGGGGGGGGGGCAGTCCATGTATACATTTATAAGAAAAGAAAACACATACTTTTAAAAGACTTAAAATGGTCAAAACTCAAGAAATTGTGTTAATCGAGGATGGTACAGTGGAGGTATGACTTTGAAGCATTGACAGTTAAGAAAGGTCTGATTTGTTTAATATTTTGCAAGTTGAATTTAATAGTATTAGACATTTTCTTGATATGTTTCTTAAAAGTCAAGTTTGAGTCCAATATGACTCCAAGATACTTGAACTGGGACACTAGTTCTATTTCTGATCCGTTTAAAAACACGTTGGATCCTTCGATTTTGACTGGTCGTTTACTGAACATCATGCATACTGGTTTTTTGTACGTTTAACTGTAAGCACATGTTGTTCAGCCAGTGTTGAACCAAACTTGCCTTGCCTTCTTAAAAGAGTTCTCTATCTGTGTTTTTTACTTGTTGTTTTTCTTTTAAGTATTCACCACGACACCAAGTCAGATTCCTCGTACGTGTCAACCTACCTGGTGATAAACCTGTTTCTGATTCTGAAAGTCAGGCGTTAATAACAGCAACAGTGTCAGAATGAAAAACAGGATTCACTGCACACACACATAAAGATAAAAATAGAATACAAATTAAAATAATAATAGAGCAAAAAAAAAGTCACATCCCGTCTACACTACTGCAATGGAGTCCTGTCTGGGGTTCCCATCAAAACCCTGGACAGGCTCCAATACGTCCAGAACTCTGCCGCCAGGCTTCTCACCCGCACCAAGCCATGGCAACACATCACCCCCACCCTCATCCACCTCCACTGGCTGCCGGTCAAGTCCCGGATTCAGTACAAAACACTCCTCCTCACGTACAAGTCTCTCCATGCCCTCGCCCCCCGGTACTCATCGGACCTCCTCCATCCCTACACCCCTTCTCGGAGTCTGCGGTCTTCAGACACGGGCCTGCTCTCCATCCCCCGCTCTCGCCTCAGAACTGTTGGCGACAGGGCATTCAGTGTTGCGGCCCCCACCCTCTGGAATGCACTTCCTGCCGAGATCCGTAATGCTGCCTCCCTGGACGTCTTCAAATCATCACTAAAAACACACCTGTTCACCCTGGCCTGCTTCGGGCCCTAGCCCTTTTCTGGTCCCCCGGCTTCCTTTATTTGTTGTTTGCCCTTTGATTGTCTATTTGTTTTGTTTGTCCACCACGTACAGCGACCTTGGGTCTCTTGAAAGGCGTTATATAAATATCATTTATTATTATTATAAAGGAAAGATATTTACAGGTAACGTACTGTCCGGCAGCTCTTGTCTGATCAAGTGTTAGAAGAGGACTCTTAACTCCTCCCATAGACATGCATTACATCAAGGTGTGTTACGTAAACACGTGTATCTTTGTCTCATTCCTTACGCTCTGTAATGTGAACTCTTGCATATTCTTCCGATTTTTTTCCTTCACATTTCTGCACAATGCTACCTTTTTAAAGCTGCACAGCTATTTCCATTGTAAATGCTGATACACCGCACATTTTAAATGAATGTATTGCATTTCAATTCATCAAATGCAAATAACGAGTCTGACAAACAGCCGATAGCATACTCAAAGTCACTCTGTTATTGTTTGAGTTCAAGACATTTAAAAAACATTCCCCTATCACAACATTATTCCCCACACACCACAACACAGACTATATCACCCCTTGCTGCTAAATACCAATACAATATGTGCAATACATAAATGCCGTTAATAACTGTGTAATATATACCTGGCTGCTAAATCCTAAGAACTGTTACAGGATGTGTATCATGCTATATACTTTACTGAAGGTATGCATGTATGAGTAGGCTTTAAATGTACCTTTTAAGTATGATGGCATGTATCTGCATCCATTGAAAGGTGACGCTACATTTGTCCTTTTTGTGAGTTTGCCGTATTAGTTGCTGACCAATCCCTGATAAATTGCTCTTATTGTCTATTGCATGTCTACAATATAAAAACATTGCATCACTTAACAACTACATCACATAGGTGGCTTTAAGGCTAATGTAGCATTTTAAAGCTCACGTGTTGTTAACAGGCAGCTACATACTAACAACAGCAGTCAGCCTCTTAACTGAATATAAACACGTCTGCACTCTAAACTGTGTAGGTAAATGTTTTTCGTATGAACTACTGTATTAATAAGTCGAAATTTGAAGGGTAGCTTACCATGAAGGGGGCAGACATGACAGCGGCGTTCTACGGGAACACGTTAGGGAAAATCATCGCAGCTTCGCTTTTGCATTCAGCTGTTGTTCATCATGTCCGCCGCTGGGTGGCGCTGTCTGCTCGACTCAATGATGACCACATTTACCTGACCTGACCTGACATGAAGGGAGATACAAATAAGATGATAACATGGAAAAAAAGGCTAGTTTTATTTAAATTAAAACACAGTAAAATCAGTACATTGATGAATACAATTATGTACAAGGAAGGTAAGAAATGATGTTAGAACAGAATCAAAGCTCCTAAAAAGGACGTTTTCAATGTATTCACAGTGCAGTCATATCAATTAACTAGAACCTAGGTTATAGTAGCTAGTTTTTTTACACAAAAAAGCCACATCGACAGGTTGAAAATAGACAAAAAAGTCACATCGACAGGTTTAAAATAGACAAAAAAGTCACATCGACAGGTTTAAAATAACAAAATGACATTTAAAGAGATATACAAAACTCTATGATGCAAAGGACAAAACTCTAAATGTCATGATTATGGTGCCAAAATAATTGGAGTTCACCATTTTCTTGATAATCATTTAAATCTGTTTAAAACTGTGTGATCCAGTGTTTGAAGCCCATAGTTTTGAGTGCGTTTTATGCATGGCAAATAACATTTTAATCATCAAAATTTGATTTAAAACAATTAATTGATTATTGTATTGAAGTATCTGGCAGGTATGATAATGTTTGTATCACATTTTCGTCCAGAAAGAATTACTGCAGGTTAAAAGAAAAAAGTAAATGATAAAAAATAAAATTCACACTATAGCAGATAAACAAAAATAAGGAAGAAAGGAATATCTGAACAAAAATGTAGTTAATAATATTACACAGCAGCTGTCCGATAAAACCAACAATCTATTTGTTCCACATGCTTTCTTTGCAGTATTTCTTGTCTACTGAACAATCTGATCATATGACAATAAAGGCTTGCATTTTGAATCTGAATCTAAAGTAGCCCAGAGTTGAGACATATCAC